TCCCAGTCCCTAACTCTCTCTCTCACTCTCTCTCTCTCAGGAGCATCTTCCCTCTCTCCCACTTTTGTTTACTTCTCCCCTATCTTCCATCTGCCTCCTATCAGGCTGTCTCTCTTTATTACAGACCGCCTGCGTCTCTCACCTTGTCCCCTGAAAACCCCGCCTCGCGAATTAGACCCAGAGAGAGATGGAGTGAGTGAACAACCGAACCGATAGAGGACCGAGAGTGTGGCCAAAACCAGCGAAAGTGATGACAGGTTATTTTTCACCAGCCCTCCCTAGACAGAGCAATGCTGTTTTCTCTTCTCCTCTGACACATGGAAGATTTAATCTAGCTATCTCTGGGCGGCCCTTCCGCTCCTGTAACCAAATGAAAGCCATGATTACACACGTTACAGGCAGAGGGGGTCTGGAGGCCTCTGCGCCAAAAAAAGGCCAGAGCAGCAGATTCACCAGGCTCGGCAGGGTGATTCAGAATACATGTGGGTGCACATGTGCGGACTTGCCTTTATGTAAAACATTTGTCTTTATTGTTATGGAGGTTTATTATTTGTGTGCCAGGTGGGAGACATCTTGAACCATAAAAGTGAATAATTCACATAGGACTTGCACGCTGCTGCTTTATATGATTATTTAATAGCTTCCCTCCTCATCTAAATCTCTCCTCCGTTCCTCCTATCCTCTTCTGAAGGAGAACCGCTTTGAATACTATTACATGCAGTAGGGCACAAGCATAGGCTTCTATTTTTATATGCAATGTTATATGAGTCATAACAAGTTTATGGTGCTATTTGCTAAAAATTAAACCGTGTGGATTTCTTTAAGAGACTCCCTTAACCTGATGTATAATTGCTGTGATGCATCAAAATATGGCACCACTCTTTCCATTCATGCAGTTACTTCTCAGATACAACATTTGTTGGAGATTTTCAAAGTGGTTCAGTGGTTTCTGCAGTTTTGCCCCAAGGAGTCTCGTGACTGTCTCTTTAAGCGTCAAGTGAGTCCTATATCACTGCATGCAATATTTATTCTATTCCACTGCAAGGCCTTAATAGTTTTTTTCCGAACCAGCTGAGTGCACCATAACTCCAGCGCAAAGCAGCAGGGAACATGGAAATTAGAAGGATATTTTATGTTTAGATAAGAATGTCTAATCTGAGAATGCATTCGGATAAAAGCCTCTCATACACTCAAGATGCCATGACTACGTAGTTTTATGTATGCAAACTATGATTAAGGTGATGTCACTGGCTTAGCAAAGCGTACATTTTTTTAAGTGTTCAGTGTATGCCTATGCCTCTTTGTTAACTTGATTATGATTGTATCATCTGTATACCAGGCTTGTGCAAAATTCAGAACTGAATCGCTCTATAAATTTGGCCTATAAACAGTCAGGGTTTGCTTGTCAAACTTTGCTTTTCTAGATAGTTACAAGAATTTCAATTCATTGAATTGCAATTCTATATTTTGTTTGCTGCCAAAATTCAAAATCAAATTGGAATTTAAAATACATTCTGAAAGGTAAACAACCATACACGCCTTTCCCTTGCTGACACATAATAAAAAAGTTTAAAGCAGTGACACCATTGTACACCTTCCCTGTTGTCCTTGTACATCCCCGCTGGAGTGGACTGAGCCAAACTCTTTTAAAATCATATTATTGAATCGCCTACAGGACAGAAACTGTATTTCTGATGAGCCACCACCAGGCCGCCAATAACAGACTAATGTGATTTGTCAAATTGCATTTACAACACTTTACATTCTTGATTGGATTACTCCCAGCAAAAAATTGGTTGCAGTCCTCTCCTAATCAAGTTAATCATCACTTTCACCTCAAAATGTGTAAAATGAAAAGAGAACAAGGTTCATTAAATATACAGTGTGCCAACCTCAAGTTTTAATATGATTAGTATCAATCTTTCATTTCAGAAAGGGAAACAAGCTTGGAGCAATATCGGTTATGCCTCCCAATCCTGTTTGGAATTGAAAACAGTTTAGCTCGGAGGATTATTTGCAGTCAAATGAATCTGTATTTAGTTACAAAACTGCGAAGCCAAGGCACCTCTGTGAGAAGCTTGCTTTTTAGTTCTCCATAAGCAAACAATAACTAAAGAATGCTTGGAGTTATGGAGGCTCTCAGGGAAAACATGTCATTTGCAAGGTGATAAATATTTTAGTGTGCTAATTACTTTGGTTGTTAACTTCTCCTTTTGAGAACTGAGGTGTTTGCATGCTAATTGTTCTTTAATGACGGTGTACCGCGTAGTCTTACTCTGCTGGGAGGGATATATACTTACCTTGATTTTCTTTTTCTCATCATTTAGACATGCATTTTGTTATTATGTACTAGGTGTTTTCCCGCACTAGCAGCCAGGCATTGCGAGCCAGCTGGCACAAGCACACACAATGTTACGCTTAACATGTCACTGACACACCTCCCTCTCTCTCTCTCTCTCTGTATTTATTTATTTACACCATTCTCGCTTCATGATGCGGGGAGATGGAAGCACCTTGGGCAACAGAATGATGCAACAAGACCTGCGGGATGTGGAGTGTGACAGGACATTCCTCACAGGGAAGCTGTCACAAGACAACATCTGTCCTGACGCTCCACTAACCTGGCTTTCATTGTTCATCTACAGCATCAGGCAACTGTCATATCTATCTGTCTTGTCTTTCTGTCTCTATCTGTCTGTCTGTTTGTCTGTCTGTCCGTCCGTCTGTCTGTCCATCCATCCTACATGATCTCTAAATGACCTGCATCAGGTTTATGAATGTGCTACTCTAGGCCTACAATGATTAAGTTATATGGTTTCCAAAATGTGATTTTGTTTGTTTGAATAGTTATAATAAAAATCGTTGCCTTCATCCTTTTCATCCAACTAATCTCTGTAATTTTGGTTAAATTTTCTCAGTTGGTATAAATTCATAGTGATCAGAAGTGTACTGTGTTGAATGTATAACTGTGTTTTTTAACGTTCAACATGTTGATTTGTACTTTTAGGGCAATTATGGCAGAAATTAAACTTTTCAATTTTAGTATTTTTTTTAAATAACACTGCACCACTGCAGTCTTGTGGGTTGCTGACCTCACTAAAGCTGTGCCTACAGCTCACCATCTCTTCTTTAGGACATTTCTTTTGATAAAGTGAATAGGTGACATGCTGACTGCTGTCCGCTCCTGTTGAGATATAGTGGTGAGATACTGTTTATTCTCTTTGCTTTCACCGTAACAGCAGGTGTCCATACAGTGGTGTGCACACAAAAATATCTGACTCAATTGTGTTTTTATTTATTTTTATTTTATTTTATTTATTAACTCATCCATTTACCAGCTTCAGGTCTGATAACCAAAAACAGTTCCCCTTCATAGAATGGCATCAAATTTAATGAACTCTTCAGCTCAACTCATCATACATGCTTTGTTGTCGCGGTTTCTTTCAAATGTCAAGCTCGTCCTCTGTTCTTGTTTAGCTCGCCATGTCCCTTTTCCTGCTAAAACCTGCTCAGTGATCTCATTTATTAAATGTCATGTTGGAACTGCGCTGGCGCAGAATGAGTGCTGTCAGAAAAATGAGACACGCGCGGGCCTCAGACGCCACATCCCATCAACATGTCCAAAGTCTGGGCGAAATATTTTGAGCAACAGCATATGCTCCCTAAATTTTGTGGCGTAAATATACTAAGGCTTCTCCGTGTATTCACAATTCACCATCGGTTTTCATGAGGAAAATGTGGCAAAGATTGGTGGAGTTATAGTACGTCCGAATATTACAGTCAGCTGGAACTGTAATATGATATAGATTTTTCTATTGATTGAATTAACGACTTCCATGAGTGTTTTACATTTCTTTAAAATTATTTTAAATTTACAAAAAAAAAGCTATCATCCGTGGTTGCCAGAACTTCACTGAAAAAAAAAAATCAACGTTTCAAGCGTTATGGGAGGCATTATGCATGTGTATTTTACATTTCACAACTATGTCACTAAATAACATACCAACTTACTGTAGGCTACTTTAACTATTCAAATCTGCTTTGTGGAATATAGCAGATTGTACTGGCTTTTTTTACTTATTTATGAACCATAGCCAAAAATACATACAGGCCTAGACAGCACAGTATTATAAAACACCATTTGAAATGAATTAACAAACAACTAAGTAAAATAAATAAATAACACCCTTATGAAGTCAATAAAACATGCTAATAAAATGCGAATGACCTTGCAGGAACGTCTCTTACTATTTTCTTTCAGGAATGTATTTTTTACTATTTTAAACGGTTTATAGAAGCAAAACATAGTTTTCAACATTGGTTTTTGTTGAATGTTAATAAAATGTAATAAAGTATAGCTATGGCAGTTCATTCACGTCCAACCCCCCCCCCCCTTTTTTTTTACAATTAAATTACATTTATTGTCTATTAAATCTAATATATTTTTTCCTTTACATTTTATAAGGTAACCAATTAACACCTGTCTACTGTAGCATTTTTATATTATTTTTCTGTAAAAATAACTTTTTGTAACACCATAGTCCTCCCTGCTTAAAGTTGGCTTGTCCATCTGTAGAAGAATGTCTAATCATCACTGCTTTCGTGAAGTGTCCTTATCTGAGCAATAGCAGTCCGATAGTGAGCAAAAACAACTTTGTGAACTTCTTCCATCCGGCGTTCGTGAAGACAACCTCCGCTGTGTTTCCGCGCGCTCACAATCCATTCATCTGGAGTAATATTTTAACATGGCACGGAAGAACAAACTGCGTCCTTGTGTCCGGTAGTACGATGACAAAATAACGCGCCCCCATTTTCCGAGGATCGGGGTGTCATCCCCTTCTGTCTGCTGAGAAGAGTCCACCTGTAAGATGCTTCTTTTGAGGGGTGGGACCCCACCGGCGCTGTCACGAGAAGAGGCGGTCCGTGCATTGGCTTGGAAAAGGATTGGAAAAGTAAAGCCCGTCTCCTGCGCTGATTGGGGGCCCGGAGGGGAGGGCGGGAGGATTGCGCTCGCGAGCCTTTGTGTTTCACTTCTAATATCTCACATATCAATAATTGAGCGCGCGAGCAGACGGACTCCACGCGCTATGTATTCTACTGCGCGCGAGCTCGGTAAGGGCCTTGATCCGCTTAAAGTCGGCTCTTCCACTACGGACTGAGACGGGAACGAGGGGGAAAACTCTTGTAGTTTTGACTTGAACTGTTTGGAAGGACTTCGTTTTACAGTGAGGACAGGTTTGGAGTGATTTTGGTTTGGGATTTGAGCGCGCTGTGTCTGTGGGAGAAGACTGCTGTTAGGTGCGGAGTGAAGTTGGCATGATGTTGACGTTGGTGCTAGGCGCAGTGTGGTTAGTGTGCCATGCATACGCACAGAACGAGACAGAACCCATCGTACTGGAGGGGAAATGCTTGGTCGTGTGCGACTCAAATCCCACCTCGGATCCCACTGGGACGGCTCTTGGGATATCGGTGCGCTCGGGAAGCGCCAAAGTGGCTTTTTCCGTGGTGAGGAACACGAACCACGAGCCGTCGGAGATGAGCAATCGAACAATGGTGATCTACTTCGATCAGGTAAATTTTCACTGTGGAAATGGACACTTCTTTTGTTTGGTTACTTTTTACGCGTTCGCCGGTTGGGAATTGCGGGAGGATTTTTATGTCACAGTTACAAATACAAACTAGATACACAATCAAAGAAATATTAGAGCAGTCAAACATTTAACTGGTATGTGTAGTCTGGGGAGGTGTCACATTCCCTTACACTTCGTTAAAGGTCAATTACAGGCTAATGGCTTTCAATTATATCTAATAGCCGTGTCATAAAACTCTTCTCCATCTCCTCTGTTATATATAATGAATCACGAAATGCTTTAAACGGTTTGCTGCTCTACACTAGCGGGTTTCCATTGTAAAATTTCAAGTAAGAGCCAAGACGTTTTTTAAAGAGATTTTACGCATTATTTGACTTCCATTCTGATGTCTGCATCCTCCTTCAGGTACTTGTGAACGTCGGTAGAAGTTTTGATGAGGAAAGGAGCAATTTCTTCGCCCCGCGCAAAGGGATATATAGTTTTAATTTCTACGTAGTGAAAGTGTATAATCGTCAAACGATCCAGGTAAGTGCTCGTACCTTTATGCTCACCAGTCTTTGAAGTGTTCTGTGGTGCGCGTGGGATAGTAAAGTGTGTGGGAAAATGTGAAATTTTCAGTTGTCTAGAGAGGAACGTTTTCTTGTATTCCCTCAATTAGCACGAGATTAACAACCAGCCTAAAATTTGGCGCGTAGACAAGGCTGGCGCGTGTTCAGGACCATGGACAGGGAACGCGCGAGACAGATTCGCCTCCTGTTTTTGTTGAAATCTGCACGGCACAAATAATACTTACATATATAAAAAAAACATGTAGACTATCTTTGTCTAATTAAAGCGCAGTCGCTGTCTTGTTTCTTGGAGATTTGACAATTATATCCCGTTATTCCGCTCTGATCGGCGACTGAATTAGAAGCAAGTTAAATCCCACATATCCATATTCATTACTGAAACACTGACTAATTGAAGACAATGAGTTGGAGTTGTGTATACGACGCACACAAACAATATAAGATGAGACAACACATATATTGAAATCAAAGCTCTAATCCAACTATGATCATTTAATTAGGACGAATAATATAAGAGAAAACACGTCTTGCATTGGAAGGCCTATTTAGTTATGTTTTTTTTACGGTGCTCACAGGAATTACAAGAATTATAGTTGTACCTTATACATTTATTTATACCTTTTTATCAGATGCAATGATTTTGCGCAAAGCTTATGGGCTATTAGGTTATGCTGTGTATTAAGTGTGAAAGGCCAGACTTTTTAAGACCGAATGGTGTTTTCAATTGATTGTTTTAAAATAAAATTATTGTCCTAATAATGCTTAGGTAATTCATATGTGTCCAGACCAAACAGAAAATGTTTTTGTAATTTTTAAAGCATATTATCTTGCACAGATCTATAATTGATTTAATGCTGGTTTTTGTATAGTCCTTTGTTTCAATCTGTTCAAGTGCCACCTTTTTTTGTAAACAAGGTTTTTCTCAACTCCTTCCATATTTTTGGCTGGAGTAACACAGTGTGTGAGAAATATTTTGTTTAGCTGGCAGAATAAATATTTCATTTGTTGTTCTATCTACATTCACACTTAGTACTTCAAAGAAAACATAAATTCCACTCTGTTGATCTGAGAGGGAGGAGCAGGCCTCTCTATTAGCATGCAGAACATATGATAAACACACACACACACACACACACACACAGAGATCTGAAAGGCTCCATAAATAATCCAGCAACACACATAGTACCTGTATGGATCCCAATCAATTGCTTGGAAGTAAGACTGCATACATTGGGTGTACATATATCTTATCTATTTGATTGCAGTTTCGTTCAGTTTAAAACCTCTGGTCATATCCATATAGTCAATTTTATATTGTGTCACAGAGTAATGTACTTCAATACCCAAAGGACAAGTCCATCTGACAACATTGGTGTCTGATGGGCAAAAGCTTTTTAAATTCTGGTCTGGTTTAGGTGTCACAATCAAGTAATCACATTCTCTATTTAAAATTCTAGTCAGTTGTTTTCATTATAAGTTAATTGTGTCATAAAACTCACAAACATGATTTAGTTAACACATATTTTGTTGTCTTTGGGGAATACTGACACAGACTGAGGAGTCAAATTGTCACAGAAAGTTCTTCTCATACAAAGCTTAAAGCAACCATTTTCAATAGACAAAGCAGCAGACAGCCATGCATTTGAATATTGATTACTGCCCATATTTTGTGGTGCACAATTCTCTTTGAACCCGCAGATGTGACAGACGGTAATTAAGAAAATTACTCTCTGACCTAAAATAATGCCCCTGTAAATAGATATGACAAAGGAGGAGGAAAAATATTTTGTCGTCTCGTTCATGTCCAACCATTATGTATGACTGAGACAAGCAAAGGGACTGAAAGAGAGAGAAAGAGAAAGAGGGGGGTTGTCCTCCATCACTTCACTGCGTCATTTGGACAGGAAGCTGTCTGTCGGTTCAGTTCAATGCAGCATTAAATTGTGTGTTGAGATCCGTTCACATTATCTCACATCTTGTTTTTGAGTTCTTCCATACAATGGTCCATTTATATGTTTTACATGTACTTGAAGAATGAGGATGGAATTAGAATTTCAGGGCCTCAAAGCTGGAGGTTTGTTTTTCGAAAGGTTAAAGTCAGCCGAAAAAACGAGATAGAGCATCACTTGGCATTCTGTGAAAAAATGCATTGAGTCATGATGAGGGCTTGTTAGTGGTGAGCCTTTTGTGGCTTTTTATCTCTGTGTAAGAGTGGTTTCTCATTGTGTAACAGTGTTTTTGCTATTTTAACAGTGTTTTTGTTATCTGATGGTCATGCACAACATTCAAAGGTGCCTTTCCAATAATCACAAGCTAATTTCTCACTGAGAGTTCTTAGTGGTATCAAATGTAATTTTCGCCCTTCTTCTGGCTCTGTCTGAGCATGGCTGGCATAGAAAAACAGACACAAATAAAGTAATGTGCCATTTTCATTTCCCCTGGCAAAGGCCCATAAATGCTTTTATCAACTTTTATGATTTCATGAGGAGTTGTCTACTATATTATCAAGGGACTTGTCAGTGAGCAACAAGAAAGGGAACAAACATGTATAGATTATGCATGTTATTGTTGGTTAAAAGATTAAAACAGACTTTGATTTATACTAATAAAGTGAAAGTGACGTGACATGTGGCCAAGTATGGTGACCCATACTTGGAATTAGTGCTCTGCATTTAACCCATCCAAAGTGCACACACACAGCAGTGAACACACACCCGGAGCAGTGGGCAGCGATTTATGCTGCGGCGCCCGTGGAGCAGTTGGGGGTTCGGTGCCTTGCTCAAGGGCACCTCAGTCGTGGTATTGAAGGTGGAAGAGAGCGCTGTACATTCACTCCCCCCACCTACAATCCCTGCTGGTACGAGACTCTAACCCGCAACCTTTGGGTTCCCTATAACATTACAGTTTCCCGTTGTCCCATTGGGGTTTTGTATGTGTGTTTTATCCAGCCGAGCAATACCTGCTTAGTAATTTATATGCTCAATTGTTCAAGAAAATTCACTTTTCAGTTTCTTTAAGCAAAATTAGACAGCCAAAAGAAAGTACGTCCTTTCGCACCAATGGGATTCGACCAGCTAATCTATATGCTCCCATGTTACAGGTGAGCCTGATGCACAATGGCTGGCCAGTGATCTCCGCCTTCGCCGGGGATCAGGACGTCACACGCGAAGCGGCCAGTAATGGTGTTCTGATTCAAATGGAGAAAGGTGACCGCGCATACCTCAAGCTGGAGCGAGGCAACCTGATGGGCGGCTGGAAGTACTCCACCTTCTCCGGCTTCCTGGTCTTTCCTCTGTAGAGGAGGGGCATGCCACGGAGGGACTATTGCTCTTTAGCTTGCCAGCTTGTGGGAGATAGAAGGGATATGAGGGCAGACGAGTCGACCAGCTAATCTATATGCTCCCATGTTACAGGTGAGCCTGATGCACAATGGCTGGCCAGTGATCTCCGCCTTCGCCGGGGATCAGGACGTCACACGCGAAGCGGCCAGTAATGGTGTTCTGATTCAAATGGAGAAAGGTGACCGCGCCTACCTCAAGCTGGAGCGAGGCAACCTGATGGGCGGCTGGAAGTACTCCACCTTCTCCGGCTTCCTGGTCTTCCCTCTGTAGAGGAGGGGCATGCCACGGAGGGACTATTGCTCTTTAGCTTGCCAGCTTGTGGGCGATAGAAGGGATATGAGGGCAGACGAGAGATAGAATGATAGCGAGAATGTAAAGAAAATATATAGGAAGAGAAAATTTAGTGTGTGCAGGCTCTCCGTTGCACTCACTTTGCTCTGCTGCTTGACTACAGCTCTGGACAGCCAAAACCTTTTTTATTATCCTTATGATAATTGAAATAATATGGAAAGAAAGCACACAGAGGATCGTAGCCCTTCCCACCGCCCTCTTACTCATCTCATCACAGTCCACCCTCAAAAGTCTTCATCTGCTTTAAGGATTGCACTTCAATAGTCCAGACCCCCATTTCACACAGGTCACATCGTTGTATATTCTCTCCATACGTACATACTGTGAGCCTCAAATGTCATTGTCATTCCTTTCAATCCAGTCGCCCCTTCTTTTCTGGCTTCCTCCAGCTCACCCTTTCTTGTCTCTGAGAGGGTGTCTTTGCTCTGTCATGACTGAAGGATCTCTGAATCCCTCGAAAAGACTGCATACTGGATCTATACATATATAAATACATAAAAGTTTCTATATGATTATGATATACTCAATGCCTAAATGAATCTGGTCAACTCTGTATTTCTGTATTTCAGTGATAATACTTAGTGATTGTGTGTGGATTTTCAGGCTGCTGTCCAACTACAAATGCTTCTTGTTTTTGTTTCGGTCAAAAAATGTGGCTAAGATGAACTATATCAGAAATACTATAAAGTAAAATGTTTTATTATCATTGATTGTAAGATATATGTGAATATTTAACAGACAAAATCCTCCCTTTTAATCAATTAACCATTGTTTTTTTTCTTTGATTCAATAAAAATTAAATGGTACTTTTTATTTTTCTTAATCTGATTCTGTGCTTTTGAAATTTTAAGATTGTCACCTACATGTTTTACAGAGCTACAAACACACATAATTTCACTAAAATGACTTCTGACAAAGCTCTGTGTGTGTGTGAGTGCCACAGAGACACAATGACACACTCTCAGTGTGTCTCATTGTGCTCTCTCATGATGTAGATATACTTGGCTGGTCTCTCTCTCCCTGTATCTGTCTCGGTCTCTTTCTCTCTCAACCGGGTGATTGGGGCCTCTCTCTGCTGCACTCAAGGCTCTAATGAGCTCCTGGGGGGAAATTAGTGCTTGCATAATAAGCAAACCCAACTGTTTACACAAAAATCATGTTGCGTGTACGTCTTTCCTACTCTTTTTCTAGTTTTTACTTTTGCTTTTTCCTTGAGGCATTTCATACCATGAAAGGGATTTTTAATACATGTGATTCTTGGCTTCATTTGATGACAGTCTCCGTCATCCCATATTTATTTTAGCTGTACCATGCACAAGAGCTGTAACCAAACTAAAAATACTCATAATTGGACAGAAAGGTTGAAATTGAGTCATATTTGTATTTGCATAATAACAAACACAAAAATGGAACCAGAGATGAACCCTCACCCTACCCTTCCAACATAGCAACAGGAGCTCAGCATTCTGACAGGCGACGCTTACCTCAGCACATTATATCGCTATCACTTCACAATGCGAAATAATGCTGCGTTTGAGGGCCCTCTCAAGAAAACTTGCTGCTTCGGTGCTCACCATTCTGAGGATATGAAGAGGGTGAATAGATAAGTGTTGAGCTGTGAAACGTTAACACCGCACCATAGGAGTCATAGTGTCCCTGCTGGTCTGTGCCCAGACAGTACATGCCCGTTTAAAACCACTCATTAGTGTCTGCACACTTATCATTTGTCTGAGCAGAACTATGGAATGAGAGCAGAGGGGCATGTGGGAAGTGAAGGGGAAAGGAGAGTGAGAAAAAGATCAATTTAAATTAGGCTAAGTGGTAATTATGGCATGTTGATGTTTAAGTGCAATGCAGATTTTTAATATGTGTTGTTACGGTTCAAGATCAGTCTTTACCATTTGTTTGAATATTGCATTACATATTTAACAGAGGCTACAGAGTTTCCTTGTCCTGCAAAGCTTGACATAAAATTATAGTCAGAAAATGGAGTATAAAAGGCAATCTATAAAAAAGGTGTTTGATGTTTGTATCTTATTTGAAACATCAGGCTTTTATGCTCCATATAGTATTATATAGCTAGTGGGAATATGGAGCTCACACTCAAGGAAGAAAAAAGGTTAAATTATAAACTAAGGCCCAAAACTAAGTAGACTAAATATATGCAATTTTGTGCATTTGTTATTTATAAGGCGAAAATGTAATGTAAATCAAAGAGATTACTAACACTATAATAGACTACTTACATAAATTGCAAATAAATATCAGTTGTCACTCTGTATGTCCCAAAAATATCTTAGTAAGATGGTATTTAAATGCTTAATTTTATGACCAAATAGCCATAGTTTTCATTTTAGGGGGCCAAAACATATAGAGATGTATAATTAAATCTTCGTCAAAAGCCTGTTGTATAATATTTGATAACTTCTGTAGCCTACATAATTTTTTTTTTTTCAAAAAAAAAAAAAATCTGCATGGATAGTCAAGTTGTATCAAATATGATTCAGTAGGGTTTATAGAGTTAGATTGCTCACTGTCAGTGCATAAACTTGTTCTGTATTTTAGTAAGTACTTATGAGTGCACTATTGAACTCATATGACTGACCAACATTTATTACACTCTTAAATCAGCCATAAAATAAAAGTCATCAGATAAAATGTGAAATCAATCATCTGGATTTATGTCGGCGTGTGAGCGCGGTGTTATGGAGTGGGGTAGCCTAAAGGCCGCGTGAGACACGCCAAATGTTCTCTACTGTGGCACGTGCCAGGTGCCTCTCTGGGCGCTAGGGATGGTTCCCTACTGGGCGCGAGCCTGGTCCGTTGACTGGAGGAAGGCGCGTTATCCATCTCTACTGCTCTGACTGGATTCCCGGAGACCTCGGCCTTCGCGCATTACGGCGACGCGAGAGACCCATAACGCCGAAAAACAACCATATGGTGTCTCTCCTGGAAGTGAGTTTCTGTTTAAGATTGACAGAGGGGGAGATTGAGGTGGTAACACTACATGAAGGGAGAAAAAGAAGGTGTTTTTTTGTTAAAGTGCACGGGTGACTGGAAAAAAGACTGCGTGACATCAAACTGAATAACTACGTTTCCATGCACACAAATAGTACGATTATTGCTATTAAATAAGGAACTGGTTTGGACTAATATGTTTACAACGAATGCTTGAAGCTCTTTTTAAATCCGTTTAAACGCTGTTGCGTTACTTAAATTATTCGTCAGAATTGTGATTGTTTTGATTTTGTTTATATTATTTGTAGGGCCTACTCCGACCAACCACGCACAATATTTATTTGCCCTTTATTTGAAGCTCATTTCCACCCCAGGATAGAAGTGTGACTTCATTTATCACAATTTTGTCTTTAATTATATTTTAAAATTGTTTTATGTTTTGAGTCAAAGTGGGATTTTTTTTTAAAAGTGTAGCCAAGTCCAGCAAGAAAAGAAGCTCACACACATAATCGTAAAAAAAATTATTATAAAATGCTTTTATTCAGATAATATCAAATGCTATTGCCATGCAGTAATATCTTTGGAAGCTCTGTCAAATATTACCGTGCGTATTAATGCATGTTAAAGTCCATTTCATTATATGAGGTAAATACTGAATCAAAGATGTTTTTTCTTTGCACTGAGCAAGGTTGTTTATTTATTTATTTTTTGGCACTTGTTTGGCCTCTGAATAAAATCATTTAGTAATTTCTTCGACAATTTGGTGTGCGATCTTCTCCTCTTACTGGACTTGGTTATCATTTTTTGAGATTATGCACCAAAGTAATTTCCATTTACAAACTTTTTCAGTATTTGGCCCAGAGGTTTCTTGGCCTTTTCGCTAGTCTTTTATTTAAAAAATGGTATACATTCCTATAGTGCGAATAAAACCACAGTACTTATGCTTACTCTAATTATGAGCATGGTATTATGTTTCAGTTAATTGCAGTATTGCCTTAATCACTTGTAAACGTAAGCAGGCAGGTTCTAAACTAACACACTATAGGCTGTATAATAATTCGGTGAAATGTTGTACTTTTGTAGAAAAAAATTAATATAACTCACAAGATAAGTGAAGGCCTTGATAACTGAATAAATGAGTTGAGCGTAATCTGTATCTTTCTTCTCAGACACAAAATTACTCTTTACTGACTCTTGGCAAAGGACAACGTCTTTCTGTCCCAATGTTTGCAAACCTCGCCAATTTCAAAATATAGCTTCTAAAACCATGCCCAGTGACAAGCAATTAGAGGACAGCTCAGTGATAGTTATTTCTTAAATGCTAAGGCAAAAAGAGAGGTGAGAGAGAGAGAGCAGCAATTAAAAGGGAAAGTGGTGAGACACTGATTGAATTTTAATTGCCATATGAGGAACCATATTAGGAATGTTTACTTTAACTGATGTTTACTTTAACTGTGATGCTCGAACAGGAGTGGAGTAATTATAATAGCCACTGAAATTAAATGAACCACTTGCTGAATTTGATTTGTGCTTTTGAAGCGAGTGACAGAGATGTTGACATCATTTTATCTGCTTTATCGGGGTTATGCGCTCACGTCACACCATCGCTTAAATTTCGCAGCATCATCAACATCTGCTGCAGGTGGCTTGGGTTAAGAGAGCTTGATGCTGTGCAGGGTGTTTTGCTTCTAATTTGATATTACTGTGTTATTTATCCAGAGAA